TGGGGTGGATTTTCCTGCTGTGTACAGCCCACCCTGGGTGGGTTTATGCTCTGCTCTACAGAACTGGGATTTACAGAGCTGTTTGTCCCCTCTGCTGGGCTGGCAGTGCCTGGGTGTTGGCACAGGGGGGTCAGGGTGCAGAGCAGGGCAGGTCCCCTCCCCAACAGGAGGGGCAGACATTCCTCAGGACTCCAAAAAAACCCTCAGGGCATGGAAATTACAAAAGAAAACACCAACTATTTTGGGATTCCCATGGAAATGGCAACATATGCTGAACGTTAAACATCAGCCCCTACCAAAAGTATAAAAGCTATTCTGGGCCCATCCTGAGGATGCAGGCAGAGCTGATGCCTCCCTGCCTCCCTCCTCCTTTCCAGCTCCTTTCCAGGTCCTTCTGCAGGTACCAAGATGCTGGCCAGGAGGATTCCATCTCCCTTTGCCAGTGGTTGGGTGTTTCATAAAGTCTCTAAGAACCTTAAGCAATATTTTGAGGGGAGAGGGCCCTTCCCTGCTGGCATTTGGCCCTTGCCTGGCTCAGTGCAAGGGTTTGTTTGTGTCTGTGTTGTGAAAAGGGATGTGGGCTGTATTCCACCACAGTGATTTTGCTCACAGCTAGTAATTGCTGGTTAAATCTGGTCAAATAATGGTTGTTAGCAGGGCCTGTTGGAGCACAGATAACTTCAGATATTATCCAAGCAGAGGAGCAGTGGGGGCCAGGGTGCACTGGGATATCAGCACTGGTGGGGAGCCGCAATCAGCACAGCCTGGAATAAGCTCCTTAGGATTATTTTGGCCAAGTTTCCCAGTTATCACCATTATTGTTATTGCTTTACTTAGCAAATGCAGAGGCTGTTTGACCAGGTAAGGAGTGCAATGGGCTCAGCCAGGGCAGGGATCTTGGAGGGGAGCTGAGCATCAGCCAGGAGACAGAGCCTGAGCCAGGCACAGGTTGCTTTTCAATTAACCCCCTTCCCATGCACACAGCCATGCTGCAGCTAAGCTCAGTGGAAAAAAAATAAAAAATATGTTTCATATCTCCCAGCCAGGGGAGCTGAAGGCAGGGTCAGTGCTGAGGGATGGAGGGGTCTCTTGCAGCAGTGTTGGCACCCCCTGGCAGTGTTGGCATCCCCTGGCAGTGTTAAACCCCCAAGCTCTGCCCCTGCAGCCAGATTGAGCTGCTGGTGCCTGCTGGCACCTTCTCCTGCCTTACAGCTGTGGGGACTTTCAGGCTTAAAAATGGTTGGGAAAAGCAAAATTCCAGTTAGGGCTGGTGCTGCCTGTGTCACCTCCCTGGGGACACTGAGAAACCTCCCTGTCCCACCTCTCTGAGGTCAAGGATGAGGTCCAGAGGTGGTGAAGGCTTTGATTTGGCATCTTTGTGCTCTCTCCAGCAGAGCAGGAGGCTCAGAGAGATTTTGAGTTGACAAAGAAATGAATAAAGAACCAGTGGGTGAACCCCTGGCAAGCAATGGGGTGTGCTAGGCTGGTGCTGTGCTCTCCATTTGGAAATGAATTGATCAGACTGGAATCAGCCCCTGCTCTCATGGGTTTAAAGCTGGAGCAGCAGAACTTGGTGCTCAGCATTTGTAAGGGAATTGGTTGAAGTGTGTCCTGAGGACAGACAGTGGGTTTGGGTGTGTGTTTAATCTGTTCTGCATTTTTGGAGGAAATATTCCTGTAGGAATATTCCTTCTGTTTGCCCATTTCCAGAGGAGGAATCTGGACTGTGGCACAGGGAGAGTGAGTGCCACAGGCCTTTTCTGGATGTTCTTAAACCTGCGCTTGTGCCTCTGTTCAGGACAACATTTAAAGTAAAACCTTGGTGTTCTCAGAGCCTGGGCTGGAGCTGGAGTGTCAGTTCCTGCATCCCACACCCCAAGCACAATGTCACAGGTGCTGGGCTCAGTATCTTGGGAGAAAACATGGGTTTTGACAGAGAAAATTGCTCTTCTCCTCATCCCATCCCTGCTTGGATGGGGGCTCTGTGATATCCACCTCTCCCTCCCTATGCCCTGGCAGAGTGGCTCTGCTCCTGCCAGGCAGAGCTGTGGGTTCAAATTGCCATTTGAACATTCAAACTCTCTCTTTTCCTCCTGGGGGGCTGCTGGGGAAATCAAACTCCCCCTCCCAGGGCAGCAGAGGCCACGAGCGTGGGCAGAGCAGCCCCAGCAGAGCCAGGGATCAAATCAAGTCACATTCCAGGGCATTAGACAGACGGTGGGAATTAAGAGCTTTACCTGGAAACTGGCTTTGTATCTGCCAGCCCTGCTTTTGTCTTCCAGCCCAACTTTCTATTTTTGTCCCTTTCTCCTTCTGTGTTGTTGTGTGTGACACGTTTGGGGAGCCCTGGGTGCATGTGGGGCTGTGCAGCCCAGGAGGGAACACTCAGGTAGGGAAAATGTGGTTTATCAAGACCAAGCTGTTTTGGGGCTCATTAAAGGCTGAGAAAATTCTCCAGCTGCTTTCTCAAGCTTGGGATCAGGCAGAGACCACAGTGTCCCACCTGGGCTGTGAGCAGTGAGTTTTGGTTTGGTTTATCAGTCTGTAGGGCTGGTGATGGGGTCTCCATCAGGGGCCACATCTGCCCTGCCTCAGGGAGTTTTTCTGCTTCAATTCTGCCTTTTTTGTCCCCCTGTTGCTCTTCTGGGTGAGCTGAGCATCTCTCATTTGGTGCTGCTGGATCCTGATTCCAGCTGTGGATGCAGGAGGAAGAAGAGTGCAGAGGTTCCCCTTAATTCCCAGAGCCTTGATTTTTCAGCCCTATAAAACAATCTTTGCCCATTTGGGTCTTTGAGGAAGCGTTTGAAGCGATGACGCTTTTGTAATGGCAGTAACGGCATTAGGCTCTCGCGTGTAACTTGATTTTATTTATTTATTTATCTGCCCTTTCTCGGAGGAAATTGCTGCTATTTTCTGGGCATCAGGCCCAATTTCTGCTTCGCTCTGTCTGAGTCCACACCACATCCTGCGTGCTGCACCCAAAGATGGAGCCTGTGTGGATGAACACACCCAAACCCAGGGGTACCTCCTTGTGCTTGCCGTGATGTTTTCAGAATCAGCCCACCTGTGAGGTTTTCAGCCTCTGGATGGCATTTCCCTCTGAATTAATGTCCTTGGATGTGGGAAGGGGGTTAAACTGAGGCTGGATCTGCTGTCAGACCTGCAACAGGCAGGAGCCACCTGGGAGTGAAAACACAGCAGGGACACAAAGGAGCAGTGAGCTGCCTCCTGCTCTCCCAGGTCATTAGATCACCCTCAGATGTGCCTCGTGTCTGGGTGAAGAGCAGTGACAAGTTTGGATGCTTCAGGAGAGAAACATTCACTTGCCTGTGAGGAGTGAATGAGGTTGGTTTGCCTGGTGTCAGTGTGTTATGACTCAAAGACTTGCATTAACATTTACCAAATTCTGAATGAAAGCCGAACTCTCTGCTGCAGACAGACAGGTTGGGTGTCATTTTGTTGGGATTTGGGGGAAATCCTCTGAAGAGGGCAGAGCTTTGTTTTTAATAATCACCTGCCTGCCAGGAGCCTGCAGCTCTGTGTGCATGGCTAAGGGATGTGCCAGGTTACCTGGTGGGCAGCTGGGCATGGTGGTGGGTGAGCAGAGCATGCCAGGCGTCCCAGGCTCCCACCAGAACCCCCCAGAGCTGAGCCAGCTCCTCTGAAATATTTCAAACACATTTTCCTGGGCAGGGTGAGTAACTGGGGCAGGATTTTGCATCATTTTCTCGCAGTGTTTCTCTTCTGGCGCTCCTTGCTGAAAAGTCCACTTCCAGCAGCTTGTGAGGCCACAGATTTATTGATTTGAACACGGGGGGGAATGAGTAAAACCAGCAGTTTGAGACAACTCCCTGAGCAAAGCAGAGCCAAGCACAGCTCAGCATTTTCCAGGGAGCCTGTGGTGGAGCCTGTCCCTGTCCTGGCTGTGCTGGGCCCTGGCCATGCCCAGGAGGGACAGGAGGGGTGCTGAGCATGGCCACAGTGTCACTGAGCCCTGTCCCATCCCATCCCTGTGGTGCTGAACCAGCCCCATGGCACAGCCACACACCAGCTGGCAGGGGCTGTGCCACCCTGAGCAGGGCACATGTGTTGCTTCAATCCCCGGTGTGTCCCCAGCTCCAGAAGCTCATCCAGCCGGTGCTGAGCTCTGGAAGGGACATTGCTGTGGGCTGGGACAGCAGGGATCTGTGTCAGGGCTGTCCCTGTCCCTGGGGGCTGCAGGGAGTGGGCAGTGATGGCATCCGTGCTCCCGGCTCGGGATGTGGCACAGCATCTCCCTGGCACAGCCTGCAGGGCTGTCCCTGTCCCTGGAGGCTGTCACAGTCCCTGGGGGCTGTTCCTGTCCCTGGGGGCTGTTTGGGTCCTTGGGGAATGTCCCTGTCCCTGTGGGCTGCAGGGAGTGGGCAGTGATGCCATCCGTGCCCCCGGCTCGGGATGTGGGACAGCATCTCCCTGGCACAGCATCTCCCTGGCACAGCCTGCAGGGCTGTCGCGTCCCTGGGGTCTGTCCCTGTCTCAGGGGGGCTTTCCCTGTCCCTAGAGGCTCTCAGGGTCCCCGGGGTCTGTCCCTGTCCCTAGAGGCTGTCCCTGTCCCTCTCCACACCACCCCAGATGTGACGCACCAGCACGCTGGCTCCTGACCCTGCCTGGTGACCTCAGGAGGGGTCTGGCAGGACCAGCCCCGCTTCGCCAGGGCGATGAATCCAAGCCCACCTCCCTCACCGCATCACCCCAGCTCCCGGGGCAGGGACAGGGTCCGGGCAGGGTCAGGGTGGGCTGCCCACGCCGCTGGCCGTGTGCCCGGGGCGCCAGGCCGGCCACAGCCCTCGTTCCTCCGCGGCCGGGCACCGCTTTGTTGCTAGCTGGTGACATCACCCGAGAGCCCACCCCCTGCCTCTTATCCGTCTCTCTGTCTCGCTCATTTATTCCCCGGCAGCGCTGGCAGGATCAGGGGCCGTGCGAGCGCCGGGGCTGGCAGCGACAGCAGCGATAGGAGCAGCGATAGGAGCAGCAATAGGAGCAGCGATAGCAGCAGCATGCGTGCGGCCACCGAGGCTCAGGGCGCCACAACCACCTAAGGAACCCTCCGGAGCCTCCTCCTCCTCCTCCTCATCTGCCCCCGGCTGAAACTTCCCTCTCCGGGCTTCCCCGGGGCTGGGGGCAGCTCGGCAGCCACAGCCGCATGCATGACACTCCGCAAAGGAGAGAAAATGACCATAAGTATCCAGGAGCACATGGCCATTGACGTCTGCCCCGGCCCCATCAAGCCCATCAAGCAGATCTCCGATTACTTCCCCCGCTTCCCCCGCGGGCTCCCCGCCGCCGTCGGCCGCAGCAGCAGCGGCGCCCCTCGCCCCGCGCCCAGCCAGACCTCGGGCAGCCCCTCCGAGCATCCCCGCGTCGATGAGGAGGATGTGGACCAGCTCTTCGGAGCGCACGGAGCGACGCCCGCCGAGCAGCCGGCCAGGAGCCAAGCGCCCGAGGAGCTGGTGGACCCCGAGGGCTACGAGTCGGACGATTGCAGTGAGTTGCTAAGTTTCCGTGGGAGTTGGCCCCGGTGTTGGGGATGTGGGTGGGTGTTTGGGGCTGGTTGTCCATGCTGGGGAACCTGGGGTCGCAGTGCAGCGCTGAGGAGCCCCCAGGTGATGCTCGGGGGCCCTGGGAGTGTCCGTGCCGCAGCCAGGCTGGATGCTGAACCCAAAGTAGGGAAGTCTCCCAAGAGCCACCAGTTGCTGTCGTGCTTGGTGTGCACTCCTCTGCCTCCGTCCCTGCTCGGCTCCGTGCCTGCAGCCCTCCGGCTGGGCTCAGAGCCTCTTAACCCGGCTGGATTGGGCGGTGCGGGCTGCTCCAGCCACGCTGCGATGAGCTGGCCCTGGGCTCCGGCATCGCCCGGCTCCACAGCGGGGAGATGCGTCGGGAATGAGAGCTCTGGCGAACTCCGGCCGTGTCATGCCTCCATTCCCCACCGAGAGCCAGGGGGGCCTTGGGAGCAGGAGGCTCTGGCCGTGGTGGATGCAGGTGTTTGCAGCAAGGGTTAACCCCTCCCCACCCAAATCGTCCTTCCCAGCCGGCGCCTGGAGCTGCACGGCAGCGCTGCCCGGCCCTGGGCCCCCGGGACCGCCCGATTTCCCTCGGAGGTGGAGAAAAGCCAAGGGCTCTGTTCATCCCAGCCTTCGGGGACAGATCCTGCGAGGGGATGCAAAGTTTGGAGCCGGGAGAAGGGAAGGGAGAAGGGAGCGGGTGCTGCGTGCTGGTCCTGGGGGAAGGGGAGGCTGAGCCGCGCAGGGCCCAGCGCCCTGGTGGCTTTGCCTTGGCACAATGTCACAGCCCCGGTGGCTTTCCCCTGGCACAATGTCACAGCCCCGGTGGCTTTGTCTTGGCACAATGTCACAGCCCCGGTGGCTTTCCCCTGGCACAATGTCACAGCCCTGCCTCGGCATCGCTGCCGGCCGCGGGGCTGCTGCCGTTTATCCCATTTACACCCCAGAGTGTGACCCCAAAGGGCTGTGCTGCCCCAGGATGGCACGGCTGTCCCCGTGTCCCCCTCTGTGACAGTGAGGCTGGCGCTGGGTGCCAGCCCCAGGCTGGCACACTCTCTGTGCCCATGCTGGTGTCGGGGTCACGGCTCCGTGGAGAGGCGGCAGCCCTGGCAGTGCCTGGCAGAACATCTCTGCTAAGCCGCGTTTGTCCCAGCCGGGCACTTCACGGGGACTTTAACCGGCTTTGGGTCATTAGCTGCTCTAATTATCGCATCGTCTGTGCTCGGCGTGGCAGTGGGAACGGGAGAAACCCGGGCTGCAGGGCCAGGGGGGAGAGTGGCACTAGGGGCCCAGAGTGCAGCGTTTTCTTGGGGTGACTCGGAAATTGCCCAGGGCTCTGCATTCTGCATTTATCCCTGGGCAGTGCTGGGTGTTGGGTGCTGGAAGCTGGGTGTTGGGTGCTGGATGTTGGGTGCTGGATGTTGGGTGCTGGGTGCTGGACTTTGAGTGCAAGCTGGATCCTGGGTGCTGGATGTTGGATTTTGGGTGCTGGATCCTGAGTGCTGGGTGCTGGATTTTGAGTGCTGCAGGCTGGATCCTGGGAGCTGGGATCTGGATTCTGGGTGCTGGATGCTGAATCCTGGGTGCTGGATTTTGAGTGCTGCAAGCTGGATTCCGGGTGCTGGATGCTGAATCCTGGGTGCTGGATTTTGAGCGCTGCAGGCTGGATCCCGGGTGCTGGATGCTGAATCCTGAGTGCTGGGATCTGGATTCTGGGTGCTGGATGCTGGATCCTGAGTGCTGGGATCTGGATTCTGGGTGCTGGGTGCTGGATTTTGAGTGCTGGTTGCTGGATTTTGAGTGCTGGATCTGGATCCTGGGTGCTGGAAGCAGCCTGGCTCCGTGCCGGGGCCGGCGGGTGTTTCTCTCACCCAGGCTGGTGTTAGGAAGTGTTTCCCGCAGCGTAACAGGTGTCAGGCAAAGCTGCTGAGGCTGTTTTGCCAGAGGTGTGGTGGGGTTTTGGCTGGCAGAGGCACAGCGGCGCCAGGAGCTGAGCAGGGAGGTGGCAGCGCTGGTGTCACAGCGCTGGGGACAGCACGGGGTGGCACAGACACCCTGAGGACACTGGCTGGCACGAGTGTGCAGGGTGGGACTGGCACTCCCCCGTGTTCAGCAGCCGAGTTGTAAATGCAGAAAAGAGCTGGGAGCAGGGAGGGGACCCTGCAGCCTGACTGGAGCCATCAGCCACGCTGGGGAGTGTGTGGAGCTCCCCCACATCTCTGGAGGGTGATTCAGGGATGCTGCATTAGTCACCTGCACTGAATTTCCCCTGGAGAACCTGTCTGTGCCTGCGCTGAGGTGTCAGTGGTGTCAGTGCCCTTGGGGGGCTCAGGGGATGTCTGGGGGTGTCAGAGCTGGGTGCAGCACCCGTAAATCGAGATTTTGCCCGGCACATCCTCAGAAGTGCTCCCAGCCCCAGAGAGCTGCAGAAGGAGGGATTCTGGTGGCAGGATCCATCGGGAGGAGGAGGAGGATTGAAGGGCTCCCCCCTGTTTGTCCCACCTGCCTGTGGGTTTCCCTCCCCCGGTGCCAGGGTGGGAGGGGGCCTGGAGAAATGCAGCGATTGTCTGGCTTTCCCCAAGCTCCTTCCTGCCTGGAGTTACTGCTCCAGCCTGGGCGCTCTGGGGTTTTTCCAGCAGCACCTCAGCTGCCATCCCAGCCCGAATTCCAGAACCCCAGCAGGGCAGGGTGGGTCCTGCCTGGCCCTGGGCTGGCTGGCTGCACCCTGTTCTTTAATCCTGTGCTGAGTCGTGCTCCAGACCCCACCAGCAAAGTCTGTAGTGTCTGTGGAGCCTGTGGGAGCTGCAGTGCCTGCTGCCATCCAGGCAGGGTGGCCTGACCAGGTGTGGCACCTGCAGGGAGCAGGGATGTGGCATTGGAAAACTGGGAACCCCCAGGCTGAGGGAAGCAGGTGGAACCCTCCCAGACATGGGCAGGGACCTGGCTGAGGTGGGAGAACACCTGGGGACAGCCATGGGAGGCTCAGGTTTGTGGGTCTGCACACCTCTACAGCAGCCTGTTGAATGCAGGGAGCAGGCAGGGAACCAGCACAGCAGAAAATGAGTGGAGGCATCTGGGCTGGCTCTGGGATCACTGGGAATTCCATGGAGCCAGCTCTTCCCTGGCAGCAGTGCTGCTGTGAGGGTTTGCAGGGTCTGGTGGGCACCCTTGGGAGACCCTGGCACAGGGACCCAGCGCTGCCCTGGCAAAGCAGAACTGTTCCTGCACTGGGTTTGTCCCCAGCAGAGCTGCTGAGGAGGTGGAAGGAATGAGGCAGGAGAGGAGGGAAATGTGTATTTGCTGCAGAAGGATGGTTTGGTGCTGTTGGACCAGGCAGGAGGCTGGGAGGGGGAATTGGCTCCTGCTCCTCTCACACCTGGCTGTCACCTCATTGCTGGCTCCCCTGTGACAGCAGCAGCTCCCCAGCCACCAGGGATGCTCCCCACCCAGCCGGGCAGCACAGTGCCAGGGAAACTCGGTTTGCAGGGAAAATAAGCAAATGCCAGCTAGATGGCAATGTGCCACCTGTGAGGAGCTGCTCTCGCCTCCCATCTCCACCGATTCCACCCAAATGCTGCTGCCCCTCCACTGCCTGCACCTTCCCCTCCACAGCACCAGCAGGAATTTGTACCTGAGGGATTTTTAAAGGAATTCCTGGATGAGCAGAGGTAGGGACAGGCCCTGAGAGGGGGCACTGCCGGGGGATAGCCCTGCAGGGCGCAGTCATCCTCCTTTAACAAGCAATCAAGTTTCCAACCCTTGGAGAAATGCCCCATTCTCTGAGCTGCTGTTTGGCTTTGGAAAGAAGCTCTGGTCACACTGGAATTCCTTCCATCCTCCAAATGTGTTTGGCTCTGGGTTTTCCAGGTGAGGAGAGAGCCTGGGAGCCACGGGCTGCAGCGGGAGCCGCTATCCCTGCAAATGCTGCTCCATCCTGCTCCTGTGTGCACAAACCCATCCCATTCCACCTCTTGGCCAGTTTTATTCATGGAAGAGCATCCTCTGAGCTCTGGAGCTGCAGCAGCAGCAGCAGCATGGAGAAAGCACTTCTCCAAAGTGCAGCTGAGAGGCCAGTCCTGGTGCGCGGCGGCTCGTGACGCCTGCAGCGCCACACGAGTTATTTAGGAAGACTCTTATTTTGAGCAAAGAAGATAATTAGGCAGGCAAAGCCATCATGGAGAAATTAATTACTGGCTGCTTGAAGATGTAAAGAAGGAGGAAGGTCTGAAGGGGTGCAGGGTGTGCAAGTCACCTGGCAGTGCTTGTGGCCAGACAGGGGGAGGCAGAGGAGACGGCGAGGCACGAGCAGGGTATTTACTTCTGAAGCACAGCTCCTTAGCATATGCTGCAACTGCTATTTATAAGCTTTGAATCGTCTTTTCAACCCAGATAAGGCCAAAAGAAGTATTTTTCTCACTCAGGAAACCAAACAAACCACCAGAGATTTCAGCAGAGCACGGCTTTGCCAAGCAGAGCACAGCCCGAGAAACGTGAGCAGGGACTGGGCAGTGCCACTGAGGTGTCCCAGGAGTGACTCTGGATCAGCTCCTCTCTGCTTTCCTGTGGGATATTTGGGACCTCTCACACCTTCCTGCTGGCCACCCCAGCAGTGACATCCAGGTGCAGGCTGCACATCCTGGTCCTCCAAGGAGCTTTGCTCTTCCCAGGGATTGCCCACAGGCAGGGACACCCCAAAGTGCTGGGGGAGAACACCAGGAGAGGAAAGCACAGCAGGGTGAGCAGGGTCTGCCTGGGCATCCCTCCTGCAGCATCCAGGGCAGCAGCATATGGGCTGTGGCCTCTGGCACCTCTGCTAATGAAGGAGCCACAGCTGCTGGATAACGAGGGTCCCTCCTCCCACAGCCCTGCACCTTCCCCACTTCCAGAGTGCAGGAGGACAGACAGAGAGACAGACAGACACCCCTTGTTCCCAGGGGGTTCCCTGGTCTCTCCTCTTTGTATTTAACACTGCAGGCAATTTTG